GATGAACCTCTGAGGAGCATCAGCTGGATCTGTTTCAATAATCTTTGTTAATAATCTAAGATGATCAGACTGATGTTAAGCCCTAAGAGGTTTTAGATGTYATTTCCGCCTGAAAATACACAGCAAAATAAAGCAAGAATAGCTCCACAGTTATAAGGTCTAAATGCTAACTCTTGGTACCTCTGTAAAGGTAAGATCTTAAAGATAATTRCTTAAGTGAAACCACTATTGTAACTCTTACTGTGCCTGCGTTATTTGTGATTAAGTAAAGAGAATTTGCAATTTTTTTTTGCCTCGCCTAAATTTTTTTTGAATCAACAGTTCAAAACACAATGAAAACTCTTGTGAAAACCCAGGAATGCCCTTAGATTTTATACATCTACAGCTTGAGAAAAATTGAAGCAAAGTAGGATTGAATAAGTTGAAGTATATTCATTTAACAAAGGTTTCAGTGAGCAGTGTGCCAGGCAGAAATGGCATTTGGCACAATTTAGCCAAATGAACCCAAAACTGTGACAAATGTTTTTTTTTTATTTTATAAAAGAGAATTTGGTCTAATAAAAGTGTTGATTTCTATTGTAGGACTCATTCTGCATATGACATAACATTTTCTTTTTACGTTTACACTGTGCATCATCAAAATCTACCACTGTGCACACCATGAAATCACTGAATGGAACGTAACTCCGCCTCGACGTTTTACGCATGAGGGCTGTTATTTATACTCTCGGTTACGCACAAACTTCATGTCAACAAACAAAGAGTAACACAGTGRCAAGATATATCCCTGAATTTGTGAGAGCTTCGTCTTTTCAAAGATACCAAAGGGAGGGGTATGGAACCAAAACTTGCACAGTAACAGATGCGGAGAACTTCCTGATACTGAAACGGTCCGCGACGGTTCAAGTAACTTACAAATGTTTATATGGCTCTAAAATCATACATATTTATCCAAAAATAATTTGGCGACTCATTTTAAAAACATTAGACACCTTTTGTGACAGACTTAGAGAAAATTTGGGAAAAAATAAGTTTTACASCTACTTTAGCAAACAACAATGAATGACAGCATCTGCTGCGGCGTACAGGGCCCGTAGGGCTCAGAAGAACAGCACTGCCWGGATAAAATCCCTCCAGGTTTATTTTACAAAACAAGCGTTATTTTTTTACAGCATCCATCGAGTTTGTCACATCTGCTTTAACACTCTTCTGTCGCTCTGCTGGAGTTTCTGTAACCTAATCAACTCGAGTCTCCAGATCCACGGCCCCTCTTGGCTGAGGTCCTTTCTGCAGATCTGGAATGCCCTCCAACCGTCTGAAGCAGGAGCAGAACTCGAGCCTCATTCACGACATGAAACGTGAAACGCTGCTGCAGCTGCAACGTCAGAAGAGTTCGGCTCCAACCTCTGGCTTCACAACCGGAGTGAAGCCCAACACTCTGGTGTCTGCTTTTACAAACATTGACATACAAGGGATGGGAGCGGGGAGTGCCTGCGCTGCCAGTTTTAACGACTCCTCTTCGCTTTACTGAAAACCTTTAAAACTTATTGATCAAACCTGATTCTTCAGCAAATAAAACCTCGAGACGAAGGTTTTGAAAATGCCTAAAAACCTCCTGGATCTTGTAGAGGAAGTTACAGCCACCACAAAGCGGTCAAATCTCAGCACGGCGTCAAAGATGTCGCTCCAAGCTGCGCCACGTGTGGACACGAGCGGCAGCGCGGGCTCCGTGTTAACGTGAGTGTGAGGAGGCCGAGTGGTGAAAACAAAAAGTGGATGTTGACAGGGGTTATCTGAGGTGGAACACATTCTGAGCTCCTCCAAGCGCGCACAAGTGTGTGTTTAATAAACCGCCGCCAGTAAGTTTTAGACACAGGAGGACGAAACTGTTGATCATGAACACAAAAGGATTTTGAAATTAAAAAAGAAAAGGAAAAAAGGAATCAGCCCAGAAAACTGCTTCACACTGGTCAACCTGACTCCTCGCTTTCTGAGGGAGGAGGCCATAAATCTGTCGAGATTCAGTTTGAAATATTTACTTTCTATGACGGCTCCCTGCACTCCCCTGCTAACATGCTCCATTCACGCACATTTCCAGGATTGTTCAGGGCGGAACACCGGCTCACTCCCTGCGGAAGCGAGTCACGTCAATCACAGGAGAACCACGAGTCTCGCTTCCTGCCGGTCGGCTCGAGCGTCCACACTTTCACGCCCGACGAGTCACCGCGATGACCTCATGACTGCAAGAGAAACAAATCAGTCCACCGAGCACACGCCACACTCTTGTTGTTCTGAACTGAAAAAAGGCCAATGGACGAAAACAGTTTCTCATCTAGAAATGTTTTACGCGCTGCCTACAATAAAACAAAATCAATAAATGAACAAAGGTTAGATGTTTCCTTTAGAAATAAAAAAAAATCATTCCTTGAACAGTTTTCACTAAAACTTGTCGCTGTTTTGGTCAAATCTTAACAATGACATCATGTTCAATCCCATGTGAAACCTCACATGATCTATAAACACTCAGAGTGTGTACTGTGAATGACTCACACCACACCAAAGCTCAATACCTGGAACATGCAGTGAGCAGGGGCGGAGCCAGGGGGTGGCCATGGCCACCACAGACAAATCTTTGGCCACCCCATTGGCCACCCTGCTGTACACACCCCTCCACAGTGAAACAAACTTTAAGCTGTAATAATCCTCCTGAACAGTTGGTGGCGGTGTTTAACAGTTTGAAACATCACCAAGCTCTATCCCTGAAGAAGACCAATGACAAGGAAGTGATGATTTTCTTTATATACAATATATGCCTTTGTTCTGACTTATGGTGTAAACTTTTGGACTTATGGTGACAAATGTTTTATTTATTTATTTATTTAGTTATGRTCTGAAGGCTGCATGATGCTCTGTCCCTTTTGGTTATGAGTAGACCTATCACTAAATCAGAAAAAGTGAAACACTCCTCTAAATTCACTGTTAGTGGTTATCAATATTGCACCTGTTCATTGGGTAAAATTAAACATGCAGCTGAGTGTTGTCATTATTTGGCACAAGGACATGTGTTACAATTAACAATAAATCAATAAACAATATAAAAGTAAAAAGCACCCCTAAAGTCATTATATATGATTAATTGTGTCACATTAATTAACCTTATCTC